TCGCTAGGCGTCCCTTTCCCCTTATGCCCGTTGTTTAGCTTACCGGCCTGTTTAAATACCCAACAATTTCTGTTGGTATGATTGGCAGGCTTGTCGGGGGTGCCATGAATCTGGCAAGGCCGGTCTAGTATTCGGTTAAGATTGGATGGACCATCCTTGTTTCCTTTAAATGGCTTCTTCCGCTGACCGGGTTTAGGGCCACTGAATCCGGCGTTAACCGTCGTGTCTTCGATATCCTCGTTGTTGCTTCGACGCTTGTGCTTGTTGCGTCGTGGCTTGCCGTTTCCATCTCTGGCCTTGGAGGTGCCAGGGTCGCTGGTGCTGTTGCTTCTACGAGCAAGCCAGCCGTCTTCTCCCGCACAAAAGCGGGTCATGAGTGCGGTGAGGGCTGCCATAGACTTTGGCTTTTCTTGGCCGAGGTGTCGGGCGAGCCACTTGTCATGGACGCTATGTTTAAAGGCCGTGAGGGCTTCGGCGTCCGGACAATTGACAATTTGGTTCTTTTTAATTAAGTACCTGGTCCGGAGTTTCCGGGCTGACTCTCCGGGTTGCTGGACAATGTGACTAAGGTCATCGGCATCTGGAGGCCGAACATAGGTGCCTTGGAAGTTGTTTCTAAAGGCATCTTCCAAATCTTCCTAGCTACCAATAGAGTTTTCTGGTAGGTTGTTTAACCAGTGCCATGCTGGTCCCTTGAGTTTTAGGGGGAGGTACTTGATGGCATGGAGATCATCACCGCGGGCCATGTGGATATGGAGAAGGAAGTCTTCAACCCATACTGCGGGATCCCTTGTTCCATCATATGATTCAATGTTCACGGGTTTAAACTCTTCTAGGAACTGGTGCTCCATTACCTCATCGGTGAAGCATAAGGGGTGTGCGGCGCCTCTGTATCGGGCGATGTCACGACGCAATTCGGATGAAGTCCGTATGCGGTTTTTGGGCCTGATGAGGTTATGCCTGTCAGGCCAAGCTTGACGCTCGCCTTCCCGTGTTGGGGCACGCCTCCTTGATCCGTAGATTGATCTTGTTTGGCCTGCTCTATTATTCAGGTCTTCACGAAGGTCGTAGGTGTATCCTGGAGTCATTGTCTCTCTGTCTCTACGGCGAGGTGGTGCGGGTTGGTGTTCGGAGTAGGTGGCCGCTTTATCTCGCCCGCGTGGTGGCTGGTCTGGTTCATCGGCACGGTCATGTCTTGATGGTATGGGCTTGAGGGTTTCATTGTCAAATTGTGGTAGTAGTCAATGCTTCGGATAACTCTTTGTTGGGCGTTGAAGGACATACTCTTCGGCGGCTAGGACTTGGGTCCACCTGCCGTTGAGTGTATCTTGTTCGGCTTGGAGCTGCTGCTGCTGCTTTTTTAGACTCCTAGCAGTGGCGATTAGCTAGCGCTTAAAGCGCTCCTGCTCGAGTGGTTCCTCTGGCACGATGAAGTCTTCGTCGCCGAGGCTCACATCATCCTCGGAGATTGGTAGATAGTTACTATCCTCCGAGTCCTCGTTCCCGACTGGATCGTCAGGGTTAACTTGCCCATCCTCCCAATCATCATGTTCGGATGTTGGCTCGACAGGGGCTTCGGGGTCTTCGGCGTTCTCCGGGGTGTTATTATCTTCGTTGCCGGTATTGCTGTCTTTTTCGCGGCGCGATTTTGAGTGGCGCCGCTGACGTCGACGCTTTGGAGGTGCTTCAGCATGCTTGTCCTCAACCGGATCCTTCCTTCCGTCATCATCATCCTCTTTGGGTGTGTCCACCATATACATGTCATATGTGGAGGTGGTCATCCAACGTCCGGTAAACGGCGGGTCTTGGCCCTGTTCGTCTCCGGCATCATCGTCCATGCCGTCGATGTCTTCGGAGGCGTAATCCAGCATGTCGGTTAAGTCTTCAACAATGGCTATGAAGTGGGTGGTGGGTGGGACGTAAAATTCCCCGCTCTCAGCCCCTAGTCCGGGTTGGGCATAGTTCGGAAGTGATTCCTCTGTAATAGCGAGGGATCGCATTAAGTTTAGGGCCTCGTTTAAGAGCGAGGTTTGGACGTGGAAGCGAGAGTCCGCGGGGCTGGCCGGGGTGCAAGCCTCCTGGCCTTGCCTACTTGGCGCGGACTTCGAGAGTTCATATCTGGAGTCCGGGGGTGAGTCCGGCCTTTCAATGATAGGGGGAACCTGGACTGATTCCGAGTTCGCCGTGGACACGATTGCCTCTGGATCCTCGATAATGCGCTTTGTAATGGAGAGTCCGGTGGGCTCCACACTCCCATCTTCGGACCTGATGGTTTGCTCCGGATCTAAGGTCAGAGCGATGGTTGGGGCTGCGAACCCTTCAAAGATCAAGTCTCCTTGAATATCAGCGACATAGTTTAGGTTCCCGAAACTGACCTAGTGACTGGGGGCGTAGCTGTCATCTGTTCAAGGTGGCCAATCGAGTTGGCACATAGTGCGAAGCCGCCGAATACAAAATTTGGCCAGGGAGGAAAGTCTCCCCCGAAACAGCATCATTGTAGATGATCGATCGAGCCATCGAACCTTCTGTTGACGGCACAGTGGAACTCTCATTGAAAGCACCAATGTCGGTGTCAAAACCGGCCGATCTCGGGTAGGGGGTCCCGAACTGTGCATCTGAGGATCAAAGGTAACGGGAGACAAGGGACACAATGTTTATCCAGGTTCAGGCCCTCTTAATGGAGGTAATACCCTACTTCCTGCTTGATTGACTTTGATGAGTATAGGGGTTACAAGAGTTGATCTACCTCGAGATCATAATGTCTAACCCTAGATGTCTAGCCTATATGATTATGATTGCCTCTACGGACTAAACCCTCCGTTTTATATAGACACCTGAGGAGCCTAGGATTGTATAGAGTCGGTTTACAGAGAAAGGAAACTTCATATCCGAACGTCAAAGCTTGCCATCCACGCAAAGGAGAGTCTCATCCGGACACGGAGGAAAGCCTTCTATCTTGTATCTTCATGGCCCATCAGTCCGGCCCATGTCACATAACCCGGACGCCTGGGGACCCCCTAATCCAGGACTCCCTCAGCAACCACATCAGATTAGACATGGCAACTGCAGTTGTCCATGCATGGCAACTGCAGTTGTCCAGACACGGCAACTGCGTTTTGTATTGACACCGCGTAAACACCAATGTCACCTATGTTCCTTTTTCCTGATTCACTGTCCATAGAATCACTTCATACGACTCACCCGTGTACGACATTGATGGCAGGTACCCGGTTGCCGCCTGTTGCCACGTGCTGCATGATGGTCCTGCGTTTTTTCAAAAAACTCGTAAGTCCTTGCCATCCTTGCAGGTTTTCTTTCTTGTCCACATCAGTATGCTTTTTTCATATGTGTTATCTTGATTTGCCACATTGGCTACTTGAAGTTGTTCTCCCGTACATCTATCAGCGTTATCGCCCTGTGTTGGAACTTGCCATGGTATCCCTGTGTGTGTGTGGTTGTGTCATAAGAACCTGCGAACAAGGACATTGTAGCACATAAGTAGAATGCCATTTTTCCTCCCCACAAACATGTCAACTGTTCCTTTTTTTATCATGCATCGTACCGATGTTCGCGTACTGCTCTAGTAGTGGTAGCAACGGCCCTGCGGAAATGATTTGATTGTACTCTGCTGCATCCCAAGGGGGCGCTTGCAGCCTTTGAGAAAACCAAGGATCAGTGCCGTCTTCATGATTCATTTTTTTCCGCTTTTCTCCCACTGTGTTTTCAGTCACTGCATGAATAAGAACGCATGAATATTCGAAATGCATTCTTGTTGTATGCACATAAAAGAAAACACGTCAATCTTATCACATTTCTTGCATAAACAACCAATGCATGATGGCAAGTAGAACATGCACATTCATTCTCTTTTCTAAAATCTGGATGCCAACTATCATTTTGAACCGATGGCAACAACCAACATAATATGATGTCAAGTAACAACATAACATGGTGGCGGCTAACGGCAAAGATAGGTGGCAGCTAACGACAAATATAGGTTGCAACTAATTTTCTCCCTCCCTATGTACCGCCCAAATTCCTCCCTTCTTCCCCTGATTTTAGTGAATCCTACACATCCTTCTGAAGCAACTACTCGCAACAACCCAACCCAAAAGCTTAGTTCAGATCTAGGATAGAACATGGCAGATCTTGCTTATGTTGGTGGGCAAAGGGGAATAAAGACAAATTTGTGGTGTGCTTGCCATGACAGTGTGGATCTAGTCGCCATCTTCGTGGGCAATATGGAAGTGCAATTATTTGGGACAAAAGGAGGAGAAAGAGGAGGAGATCGGAGATCGGCCTGTTAGCATGTCGTCACGTTTTTCATCGATCGGGAGGGGGGCGAGGGGTGGGGGTGGGGTGGGGCTAGAGATCTGGTTTGGTTGTCATGGCAACTAGAGAAGGAAGACAATGGAGGTAGGGGATCGAGAGGTAGGAGACGACGATGACAGGTCGCACTGGGGTTCGAAGGTAGGCAAGGACGATGGGCGCGTTAGGTTATGCAGGCAGCGGGGTCGTTCACCCGGATGTGTGGGCGATTGTGTCACACACCGGACATGCGGGTTGTGGCAGGTTGCGCCCGGACACCATCGTGCAGGCGGGATTGTCTCCGTGCCACACAGCGCGTGCGGCACAACCCCCTAGATGCCACACATGTGGCAGTTATCGTCGTTCAAAACGAATCGACGGCAATCAACACGTGTGAGCAAGTTGGAGAAGTGCCACACAGGTGGGCGTTAGTGTTTCTGTTATTTAAATTAAATCTAATAATATTTCAACCGAAGGTGAAAAACATGCCATAAAATTGCCACCACTGACACGTCCGTGCTAAAAAAACACTGTACCAACTTAGCCGCGGGCAGGATCATGTCCAAACGACCTTATCAGAGATGCAAGCAAACATGAGATACTTATCCGGTTCCAAGATAATAATAACACTCAAGCTGCAAATCGCTCAAAGAAAAATGGTTCAACTACTTCCAAAAAAAGTCGCCATACTCTTAAGTTGTGACCTCCATAATGGCAGTGACAATGTCTCCATTGGCAGACTTGAGAGCCCTGACAGCCTTGGCCCTTGAGACGCCCGCCTGTGTCATCACCAGCTCGATGTCCTTTGGCTCGACTCCCTCATCGTTGACAACCTCGTTGTCATCATGCTCCACGCCCGACGCCTCAGGACTTGAGATCATTTGACTCAGGTCAGGAGCCTTGAATTGTTCTGCAGCCTGGCTCTGCAGCTGGGAGCTGAGATCCTCAATCTTGGCTTCACCGAAAATAACATACGTATCTGAATTTGGGCTCTTGAACACATCTGGCTTTGAGATGACGAACAATATCTGGAAACAGTGGTGTTAGTCGACCAACGAAGGAATACAGACCATGCTGTGTAAGTGATTGTAATAACTCACATTCTTGCTTTTCTTCACAGTGACACGGCTTACACCAGTGATGGATTTCATGCCAAGCTTCAGCATTGCCTTGCGGCTCTTCTTCTCACTCCTGCTTTGTTTTGATTTGCCACTGGCATCACCTTCTTGCCCTGTAAAATAGCAATAAGAACAATATGGATCATACAGTGTAAGAGTTACATAAAGCGAATTGTATAATACAATCTGGAGCTTCCAGATAAGAGGGAACCGGAACCAGCTAGTCATGAAAAAACACAACAATTTCTTTAACACTACCTAGCACATATGATAGTCGGCACCAAGAAAACGTCTCCTTGCATATGCAAGTCAAATTTAAACGAAATGTAATTTACTCCAAGTAAAACATAGTGCAATGCCCATTTGCCCAGTATAACCTCTAAGGCTATAACAATAAAACATCAATAAATTAGACGCCATCTATAAAAATGTACTCCCTCCGTCCAAAAATACTTGTCCAAGGAATGGATGTATCTAGACGTATTTTAGTTCTAGATACATCCATTTCTATTCATTTCTGTGACAGAGGGAGTACACTATCACAGCCTTGCAGCTCCAGGTTTGAATAGCAGACTAAAAAGTACAATATATGCACCAGAAGCAGCTAGACATCTGTGCCATCAAATTGACTACAATCTAAACATCTCCGTTCTTTTGTTTCTATTCATTTCTGTGACGGAGGGAGTACAGAACTATCACAGCCTTGCAGCTACAGGTTTGAATAGCAGACTAAAAAGTACAATATATGCACCAGAAGCAGCTAGACATCTGCGCCATCAAATTGACTACAATCTAAACATCTCCATTCTTTTGTTTATACAGCACAAAAGATCTTTCAACATCGGTCACAGGCACAGTACAAAGATTATATTCCATCTCAATTGAATTGACAATGAGGATTGTAATTTTGAAGTATCTACAACAAACCCACATGACCAAACCAATCAATATTCTTGTCAGATGCAGAGAGAATATCCCAAAAGAAGCTAAAAGCAGACAACCAGTAAACATGCATTCATCCAAACAAACCAGCCAGTGGTGAAGCTACGTGTAGACACCCAACAGAGATACTCTTCCTCCCGGGTTGCTCTCGGGCGACTCTGGAGGACCCTCGCCGCCACCCTCTCTAGTCCACCTCCTCCACGCCCCCTACCCTCGCCGTCGCAGTAGGAGGCCTCCGGGCTAATCCCCTCGGCGGACAGCGGCGGCGAGGCCACGCTCTGCTCTCCATGCACCGTTAGCCTCCTCCCCATATCCAAATCGAATGCCTCCAGAACCTTCCTGCATGGAGCTGCCAGCTGCCCGCTGGCCGGCGCATGCTGGCCCTCCGTCGGTGGCCGCCGCTCCATGCTGCTCGCCGGCAACAGCGACGCCTGCAGGCTCCCGTGTCCCACCATGGTGGCGTTATACTGCCTCCTCCTTCTGGACTTGGGGATGGGGAGAAATCTCTGACGGTTCGCCCGGCCATGACTGCGGCGGTGCACTCACGCCACTCCTCCATGTTGATGGCGCGGTCTGCATCTCCTTCATGTCCGTATGGTGAACTTCTCTGCACTCTATGTGATCTCTCTAGTTTGCTTCATTCCACTCATCACCGGCCATCCATCCCGTACCGCCGTCAACATCACCTCTTCGTCGAGCCCTTCGCCACCATCCATCCGCCCCTGCCCGTCGTTTGGTGTTTTGCCCTTGTAGCTATGCATGCTCAAGACCCTCCCATAGCTGTCGTTGTTGTGTTGCGGTGAGCTTCGTGTTCTTGGTGTTCTCTCGGTTCATCTTTGCTCAATGACGACGCAAGATGCCTCCCCAACTTGCTAATCGTTCAGAATTCCTGCGGCGGAGCCCCTAGTCAAGGTTCGTGTTCAGCTGTGGCACTCGTTGATTGTGGATGCTCCTGTGTTGCACCCTGGGGTTTGGTACGCGTTAGGCTGCTTGCGATGTCTTGGTATTGTGATCTCTCGACGGCGCCCCGCATCTACTTGTGTCTCTCGTGGTGATGGTCCTATGGTCTGCTAGCTAGGCTGTGACATGTCCTGGGTGTCTTTTTTCTCATCTTCTTTTAACCTTTTTATTTGTACGGTTTTTTGGCCCGGTTTCCCTCATAAACGTGGCCAATTTGTTCAGGTTTTCAATCCGGTTTCCCTTATAAACTGGATCATTCTCTTGGCATTATGGCCATTTGAGTGGTAATATATTCAGGTGGGGAAACTCTCCCCCCGGTGACCATTCCAAAAAAAAGAAGGTAAGTGTAGACTGTTATGTCAAGTAACATCACTTAATTTGCTCAGCAAACAAATCACGCTATTTTCAAGTGTATACGAAAATTACATGGATACTGTACATATGTACACATGCTACCATTGTTGGCACCACCACTGAAATCGTCCAAGGGCAAAGACAATCCGACCCTAAAAGAAGGTCTAATAATGTAAACAGAAAAAAACAGGATTTAATAAATCTCACTCTGTTATTATTTTCACATGTTCGCATCAGATTTATTAATTAATACAGCTTTACGCAAAGTGGATACAGGAGACCAGTGAGCATAGTGAGTTACCATCCAAATCATCATTGTCATCATCATCATCGTCGTCGTCGTCGTCGTCATCATCATCATCATCATCCTCAACCACAACCTCCTCTGCCTGCTCCCAAAATTCACACAGTAAGATCTTCAGATGTTACCCAGTACACAACAACTAAAACACCTATGTCACCGAGGATAATATTGAGTTATACTTCTATCGATATTAAACAGTGGATTACGCTGCCTCGTGTAAATAAATAACTAGATGAAGCATTAGGCTACAGGATTAGAATTACCAATACCCATTATAACACACTGAAAGCAATAACCTTCCAGGATCGGACTAGTTCATCGAATGGATCTAGAACCAGCAAAAACAAGGACATTTCATGGAATATTTAATCCCTGAACAAATCGATCACCGATTCTGACGATGACTGGCATTGCTCGGGAGGGGTTGGACCAAGGATCACATCCAAATCTCACCTCTGTTTTCTTCGCCTCGAGCTGCTCCTGCTCGATCTGGGCGGCGAGCTCCTCGGCAGTCTGCGCCGTCATCCTGGTGCTACGGTGGTAGTCAAGGGGCAGCGCTCGTGAGAAGGGAGGAGGTGGCGGCGGGCCGGCGAGGGCGTCAAAAACCCTAGGCAGATTCTCCTAGTGGTTGCGAGACCCGGACTAAACTCTTCACTTATTTATTTTCAGGTGGGATCGCGGTGACCACCTCAACATTTCCAAAAAATACAATATGGCACAGTTGAAACACTAAGGCTCTGTTTAACGGCAAAGTACTGTCTCCATTTCAAAATAGATGACTCAACTATATGTTACTATGACCTGTTTGGTTAATGCCAAAAACTGTGTTACTAAAACTAGAGTATTTACAAAATTATAGTAATTTCTCCGCATAATAAAAAGAGCCCTGAACCTCTTTCTTTTAATAGAGCAAGCGAAAGAAACGAGTCGATCGCTAGATCTTCTCAACAAACTCATCTGGCTATTAAGCCGCCGCTCGATCCTCTGTCCCACGTGTTCCCTAATGCGAATGAGATAGCTAGGCTGGATACATTAATCATAGGAAGGATCCGAAGCAACCCATAGCTATCCTTTAAAGATCAGCCAAGGTCCGGAGAGGCGATCTCATCTCTTTTAACGAGTACTACTACTAATCACCGCTAAAAGCAATTGCTAGCTACTAGCGACGAACGGATGCACGACCAACAGCTAGCTAGTAAATTTTACAGCATTATGTGGTGTAATCAAACAGGTCCTCTATATTGTGAATATTTAAAAAAAACATTGTTATATTAAAACCATAGTGTTTTGTACATGTATGCTAAACTACTGTAGTTTATGATATTTTGGTTTTGTTAGTACTTTCCTACCAAACAGAGCCTAAGGCTGTGTTTGATAGTAAAGTATTGAAAGAACCAAAGTATTGAAAACTACAACATTTTAGCATGTAGGTGTAAGATACCACAGTTTTGACATACCACAGTATTTTGAAGTATTGAGAATACTTTGAGTTGTTTGATAGTGTTGTGTATATTGACGCACCTAATAACTAGCTAGCCGTTTTCTACTTGCTTACCCTGTTACCCAAACCCAACGGCCATTGTGACGATTAAGCTCAATCTAGATGGAGCGCTCCCTTTAGGATGCTCTATGGGAGTGGATGGGGTGTGATTGCTCGTGATAGCTCGGGGCAGGTACTTGTTGCTCGGGTTGGCCGCTAGGAGAATATTCATGACACTTTTGGGGTAAAGGTCAACGCGCTGGCAGCAGCAGTGACGACGGCGACGAAGATGGGAGCAATCCGGGTTGCCTTTGAAACCGCTCACAGCTTCTTGCAGATGCCTCGTCAAGAAGTTGCTCGAGAAAAATTAACGAATCGTTAATTAATAATTAACAAACGCGTTAATTACTGAACCGTTTTCGATTCTTTTGAATCGCGACTCGGACGCTCCCACGACCTACCCGGCCCACACTATATAGTCAGGCAGACGTCTACCCTGGCCGCTACTTCGTATGATTTCGCATCACCGTTACAGATCATTGCGCCGCCAATAAAATCTTCTCCATCCCTCCTTTCGACGTGCACGGGGAGAAGGGACAGCAGGCCTCCGGAACCCCGCCTCTCGTGATCCTGTACGGGAAAGGGGTGATCAGGTTTTTGGGGAGCGCACTCGTGCGACTGCTGGCAGCGACGACTTCGCGAACGACGACTTCTTCCCTGACCTCGGCAACCTCATCCTCGACGACATGGGCGACAACGTCAACGTCGGCGGTGTTGTTCCCGCTGCACCGTATGCGATTCTATCTTTCTTGTTCGAGATCGTGGTAGAATTCATGGTTCTAGTATGTGCCCTAGATGTGATATATTCATCTACTATGCTAGTTCGCATGATTAGCTTAATCTCTGCAATTGTTGTCATGATTTATTTTCTGTTTATTCGGATTAAATCTCGTAGTATTGCTCATATTTCCAACAATTCCAAAACCTGATTATAGGCAATTTACACCGAGTGGTTTTGCTGCGCATCTGAAGCCGCCTGCCTTTAAGGGGGTGCAATATAAGAGGTGACGCATGAGAGCAGTCTACTGGTTTCAGAGCATGGGCTGCTATGACGCCACTAAAGGCAAGCCTTAGGGCGATCTTAATCCAGCACAGCTGGAAGCTTTTGTGAAGATCGATACTCTTTTTAAAGGCACTCTTCTGAGTGTTCTTGATGATTCCATTGTGGATTCGTATATGTCGTTTGACAACGGCAAGGACATGTGGGCTGCGCTCGAGGCTAAGTTTGCTGCCTCGGACGCCGGCAGCGAGATGTACGTCATGGAGCAATTCCATGACTACAAGATGACTGATGAGCGCTTTGTTGTACAGCAAGCCCATGAGATACAGTCGCTCACAAAGGAACTCGAGTACTTTAAGTGTGTGTTACCGTACAAATTTGTTGCCGGAGGCATCATTGCCAAGCTTCCACATTCGTGGAACAATTTTTCTACTTCCCTGAAATACAAGAGACAGGAGTTTTCCGTTGCGGATCTCATTGGTGCTCTTGATGTTGAAGAGAAGGCGAGAGCAAAGGACACACGTGCTCGAGTTGCCGAGGGAACTTCTAGTGCCCATATGGTACAGAAGAAGAATTTCCATCCCAACAAGAACAAAACTCAGGGCAAAGGCAAGTTTGATACAAAGAATAAGCCGTCACATTCTACCAACTTCAAGAAGAATTCTCATAAAAAGGGGAAGGAACTTTGCCATGTCTGCGGTGATCCCAATCACTGGGCTCCGAAGTGTCCTAACCGCTTTGAGGAGCGTGAACATGAGAAGAGCGGCAAGTCCGCTAATGTTGTTATCGGTGATACTGATATGAAGGAATCTGGGTACGGTATTCTTCCTACCATCCTTTCAGTATTTCAATCTCCTGATTGGTTGATTGACATCGGTGTCAATGTACATGTTTGTGCTGACGCCTCCATGTTTTCTTCTTACCAGGTCAAGGGACTTCTCTCGTGCTAATGGGGAATGGGTCACATGCAATCGTTCGAGGTGTTGGTACGGTCGATCTGAAGTTTACTTCGGGGAAGACCATGCGTCTGAAGAACGTTCATCATGTGTCGTCCATCAATAAAAATCTCGTTAGCGGTTCCCGATAGCTAATGGATGGGTCAAGTCAATCACATCATTCTCTAATGATGTGATCCCGTTCATCAAATGACAACTCTTTGTCCATGGCTAGGAAACTTAACCATCTTTGATTAACGAGCTAGTCAAGTAGAGGCATACTAATGACAATCTGTTTGTCTATGTATTCACACATATACTAAGTTTCCGGTTAATACAATTCTAGCATGAATAATAAGCATTTATCATGATATAAGGAAATATGAATAACAACTTTATTATTGCTTCTAGGGCATATTTCCTTCAGTCTCCCTGAGGGAGTCCTGGATTAGGGGGTCTCCGGACAGCCGGACTGTTGGACTATGAAGGTACAAGATTGAAGACTTCGTATCGTGTCCGGATAGGACTCTACTTGGCGTGGAAGGCAAGCTAGGCAATACGGATATGAATATCTCCTCCTTTGTAACCGACCTTGTGTAACCCTAACCCTCTCCGGTGTCTATATAAACCGGAGGGTTTTAGTTCGTAGGACAACATACAATCATACCATAGGCTAGCTTCTAGGGTTTAGCCTCTCTGATCTTGTGATAGATCTACTCTTGTACTACCCATATCATCAATATTAATCAAGCAGGACGTAGGGTTTTACCTCCATCAAGAGGGCCCGAACCTGGGTAAAACATTGTGTCCCTTGCCTCCTGTTACCATCCGGCCTAGACGCACAGTTCGGGACCCCCTACCCGAGATCCGCCGGTTTTGACACCGACATTGGTGCTTTCATTGAGAGTCCCGCTGTGTCGTCGCCATCAGGAAGGATGCCTCATCCCGTCTTTAGAGACGGCACTGTTGCCAAGGGAGCTTTGGCTGTCAGCCAAACTCTCCGGCTAGGTGGTTTTCTTATGACCACCTGTTCGGCGGATGCGCCGACGATGACTTCTCGGGTCATCGAAAGCAATCTTCACGTCAACTCGGAACTCGCCGAGCAGTTAGATCCAATGGAGCTCTCTTCCCTAAACGAGCTCTTGGATCGCATCGCCACCCTGGGAGTCGCTACAGACTACGATCAGATTGGGTCTAAACCCTATCTGAGAGAGATCAACTCTCCCCAGGTCACCCATCATGTTGCAGTGGTGGAGGAACAATGCGGCAACCCTTCATCTATCTTAAGGACTAGCTATGTCCGGATTCCCGATCCCTCCAAGCTGGATACCCGCGGAGGGGAGGACGTCACTCAAGAACTGAACCTAGAGTCAGGCAGCGGGCTAGATTCATTGGAAAACATCCAAGAATCCAAACTTCCGAGTTCGGAAACTCCTTGGCCCCTGAGTCTCGGATTGGGTGAGGATTCAGATTCAATTCCACCCACCCACCCAAACATAAGCGATCTATCCCAAATTAGGCAAGATCCCGAAGAAACAGTACACCATTACTGGGCCAGATTCCTCCTGGTCATGAACAGGATAAAGGACTGCCGCGAGGAAGACACAATTTCATTCTTCTGCAATAATTGCACAGACAAGGGAATCCTCAACGCCATAAGGCGCCACAAAATTACGTGCTTTGCCGACTTGGTGTCCATGGTATGAAAGTACTATGCGATGGAAAACACCTGGAAAATCGAAATAAAATTTTGGGATAATCCGGCCCTGAATACAAACCCAGTTCGAAATAAAAGGGTGCATTATCGCTAGACACCCGGGTTAAACACCAAAAAGCAAAAACCCTCTACAGGGCATGGAACTGTACTGGAGGGATGGCTCAATGGACCCTGTAAAATTCATAGTACAGAGGGCGCCACACCAACTCATAGCCTTAGAGCATGTTGGATACTCCGGCAGGTGGCCAAAAGTGGCAAAGATCTTCTAACCCCAGAAGCCACAGAGCACCAGCCCAGGGATACCAGTACGGTATTAACAGTCTTCGAGACTTT